GTATTCTATCCGGATGCAGGATAGAATACAACCGTTCGTTCTTTCTTGAGGGTGAAGAAAGAACTAAACTCTATTTATATAGTCTATCAATAGGTGCCTTCCATGAAAGCACAATCTATTTCATAATAGTCACACATTTTCGTAGGAAATATAACTCCTTAATAAAATTACACATTTTCATCTTCTCATAGTCAATACGTTTTAGTAATTAAATATTTGTTAAATCATTATTAATAATATCATATGCGCCACATTATTCTTACAATCGTTGAGAGAGAGAGAGATAGAATCGTGAAAAAAAAAAAGAGAGAGGAGAGGGACACGCTAGATACACAAAAGAGAGAGCAAAAGTTTCTTTTCTTTTCTTCCAGCAAAGTGAAGGAAAAAAAGCAAAGAGTACGTCCAGCAAAGTGAGTCCCTTCGCGGCCGCCGTTCGTGTCCATAGGAGCCTGATTATCAGGCCTCGAGTCCAGCCTCGCCTGCGATTGCTCCTGCCCAGTGAAGGGTTTAGTCCGGCAAAGTCCAGACGTTCTTGATTGAGATCAACAGCCGTTCCAGCGTCGAACTAGTGCGCTTCTGGCGCACATCACAGCCCTCCGGTTGATCTCAGTCGTGTCCGGCAGCTATCCCGTTGTCTCTAGCAATATCGGCACGCCAGAATAGTCATTGCCGATTTCCTTATTGGCGTCCCAGTATTCCATTGATCCAACCGTCTTCAGCGAGACACTCCGGCGGGCATCAAGGTTTCCTCGTCGGTGGTCGCCAGGGCTGCCTGAGGCCGTTCGGCCTCAAACGAGGGCTGCGCGGCGTCAGATCTAGGTTGCCGGCGGCCCTCGCCTGGGTTTTTCGACCCTCGTCGGGGGTCGCCCGAGCCTAGGCGGCCCTCGTCGACGGTTGCTAGGGGCTGCTTGAGGTCGCTCCGCCTCAAGCGACAGCCGCCGGCGCCGGATTTGGGTCGCCGGCGGCCCTCGAGGGCCGTCTAGGTCGCACAACCTTAGCTGAGTTCGTGCGAGTTCCCGGCAAGGGCCGTCTAGGGCGTGCAACCTCAGTCGGCCCTCGTTTGGGTTGTGTGGCCTGTCGTGGCGGCCGTGCAACCCTAGGCGACGATTGCTGGATTGCGCGACCACGCCGGCCCCTCTCTAGCTCGTCGTCGTCCCCTCACAGCCACACCGGCGGAGGTAAGCAAGGAAGACGATGAACAGTGACAAACGAGGCCAAAATCGGAAAATCAGCAAATAGATGAAGACAGTTTTGGAAGAAATGTTTGTCACTTACTCGCACTGTAGCATGCCGAGAAAGCCGAAAAGCCAAGGGACCTCCTGAGCTGCCTTGGGCTTTTGGCCTTTACAAGGTCAACTTTGGCTCAATGGAGTTTCAAAAAAATTTCCCCAAACACTAAATTTTAGCTCAAAGGCCTTTAGGTGCCCAAAGTAGCTTCCCAAAGCTACTCCCAAACGCAGCCTAATCCCATGACAATACCAACATGGCAGCATCTTCAATTGATCCGTGTCCTTGACGTGTCAAGTGAAGCTTTAGGCCTTCAACGTCTCCACTATGGCAACACGAGTCCCTCCCGTTTCTTTGCTCAGTGGAACTAACGAAGTCAACGAGTCATTGTGTTCACTTTAGTCTCTTTACAGGCTTCTTTTGGCGAAACAAGCCTTCTACCGTGCCAACCACGACCGTGAGCGACCCCACCGTCGCCGCTTTGGCGGTGAGTCCCTCAAGCCAACCGAGTCAAGAGTTCTCAGTTGAGCACCACCTTTGACCACGTCCGCAAAGAGCCCAGCCGAGTCCACCGTGCGACGTTGGCCATCTACCGAGCCTCATCCGCAATCCGTGATCCGGTTCGATTCCGATAAGATTACACATGTTCAAATTGTAGGGTTCATCAACGAAAAACAACGCAGCGGAATATAGAACCATGGACAGGATCCATGCGTATATTGAAATCGAAAAGGAATTTCGGTACGTACCTTTTTGCATCAAAAATAAATCAAGAACTCGGATGGTCCGGATGAGCGCCCCAAGTGTTGCGCCTCTACCGGTATCCACACACACGAACGGAATTCTCCAACGATCCACGTGCTAGCGAAAGATCTTGAAGTTCCTTTTTCTTGAACACCTTTTGATTTTCGATACTCTATCGAAAAACCCTAGACAGAGAACGATTCTCTATCTATTTATACAGCCTCATTATCTAGCGAAATTAAAAGAAGTGGGCCGGGCTATTTGGGCCCGCCAAACCGTCCACCTTCAATCGTACGTTTAATCGTTATCTCATAACGCGCACGACCGCATAGATAATTTAAATAGGAGAATAAATTAAAATCTACTTCTTAAGTAGATCAAGGCGCATAGACAATATTAAGTCCGTTCGCTATTGTGTGCGACCCTGTAGGTTCACTAAACATTAGCAGTGTGCCCAAAACTCTTTTGGCCCACAAGTCATAAGCGGTCTCTAGCAACACATTATGACTACCTAAGTATAGTGAAGATCGGTTTTCCGACACAACCTAATCCACAACTAATATTAGAGTATCAACCTTGATTGATTCTTAGGGCAGACCACTAACACAAATTAGGTAATAATTCTATCCGATTTGATATGAATCGTTCAATTGCTGTTTACGGATAGATTGTATTATCTAATTGATTTAATTGAGATTTAGGCATTATCCAATTAGGGAATTAAAGATAGCGGTTGATTTAATTACTAATTTGATCCGTAAAGATATCGGATCATTTTTTTAATTATTTCAATTTAATATTGAATAATTGTTGTGCCTAAAGATTGCGATAATATCTAATTTAACCAGCAAGATGGTTGGTTATTTTTAGATTATCGTAATCTTTAATTTGAAATATTTGTGGATTGTGTGTGTGGGAATAGGTAAGTCTTTATATTTAATTTAGATAAGTGCCATGTTTTGTAAAGACCAAAAAGATTGAATTGCGTGATAGATAGGATAGTTTCCTAACTATATATATTAATATTGCATGTTTAGAATTAATCTAGTTAGACTTGTCTTCTAGATTAGACTGCATGTTAGGGTAATATTTATTTCATTAAGATAAGTTTCCCTATTAAAATAGGATTTAATCTAAATTATTTCCTAGTTTGAATAGGATAACTTTTCTAATTGGGTTGTTAATTTTCATTATTCATTTATTACGAATTTTAATAAATAAACAAAAAACAAACTATCATATGCATGTCATATAGTTTGCATGTTAGGAAATTGCATGTCATGTAGATTAGAATTTATTTCAAGATAAAAGAAAACCCAAAAAAAAATATTTAATAGTTTGGGTGTGTCCAATTTCTTTCTTGCAATTTGGTTGATTTGCTTCGAGTGTTAACTCAATTGATTGCGCACCCGCATGATCACCTCACACGTTAATGGATAGGTTAAAATCAATTCAAGCTGCCTATAAAATATTTTCGAAAATAAAAGAGAAATGATACCGAAATGGCGTTAGAGTAATCTAGCGTAACAAAGTTTCCAAATCAATGTAATCTCTGATTCGTAGAAGTAAAGTAATTCCCCCGCATTTTACTTGGGTATCCAATCGACCCATAAAAAACTGATTAGTGGCAACTCCTAGATAAAATTAATTGCATGTTAAAAACTTGAACTTAAGTTGTGAATTGATATTGACTTAGGAGGACGCGAATTAATTAAGTTTAGACTTGATAATTCATTAATTGAACTCCCAGGTGGTGCACCCGAGATAGGTCGCGACAGCTATTATTCAACCTATTATGTGATGGTAGGAGAGAATAGATATGGATCTTCTCACGTGCTTTTTGGATGCCTCCTCGTTTAGCCAGACTCTCACTAGGATAACTCTGCTCTCAGTTTGGTATCTCAAGATGGCTGCGCGACAAGTCCCATCTCTGGCACGGCTAGCTCGAAATCTCCGTTCAAGCTTTTTTCTTATTTCTTTGCTTTGTTTTTTTTTTTTGAATTGGTTTCCTTGTCATTCAAGTTTAAGGCCAACTTCTCTCACAACACCAAAAATTCCTACCTTGGGAAAAAGAAATGAATCGACAAAACATTAGAAAATATGAAAAGAAAGTAGAGCTCACGGGTTGCAATATGTGAAATGATTAACCCCATTTTACGTCAATTTGTAGTCTCCCTAGTACTCGCTGTACTGTCAAAAGAAAAACTGCATATTGCTTTATATAAACTAAATAGTAAAGGATTTGAAATGTCACGGTTTATAGAAAAATAGGTTACATGTAAAACGAAAGAAAAAGCTAAAACAATTTTTTTTTTATCCTTAACAAGAACCTTTAACACATAAGAAATCATGTGCTAGATCCCGATCTCAACAACATTTACTTATTGTCTTTGTGAAATTATAGGTGAACTCAGTCTGCTCGACTGTCATTAACAATTTTTTGCATGGGCTCATACTTAGAAGTGGTGTCTATAAAAAATAATAATAATAATCAGTAGCAGGGATTATAAGTGATAATAAACTGCTCCAAAAGCTGAGGAAATTAATCCTTTAAAAAATTGGTGATTTTTATTTGGACAATTGAGATAGAATTAAGATTGAACCTAAATTGGAGGTTACTTAGGAAATTAATCCTTTTTAAAATCCGTCGTGAAGAATTCTAAAGTTATAATCCTTGTTTGTTTGGGATCAATCAAAAGTAAAAAGTGTGCTTTTTTGTCATTATTTAAAATGCTATACTAAGTTTGAGAATATATGTAAATAGAGTATGTTAATCTACATCTCAATGGTTTTTTTGTCAGTCTCAACGTGAAATTTTCAAGAATCTCATAAAAAAAAGTCAAAAGTGAAAAAATAAAAGCTAATCTAGAGATGACATTAGCGATAATATTTTCTCACAATTTTCTTTTTGTGTAATATAATTTCCACAATGTTAATCGTTATAGATGGTTAAAAAAGATATCGCTGATTTGAAAAGATATCGAATGGGAGGGGTTTCTCGGAATATTCCCTAAAATCTGAGAAGGAACAAGAAAAAAAAAAGGAGATATAAAAACGGGCTTTAACCGAAATGAAGGTGAATAATGCCTGCGTCTATGGATTCTCCATCTCCAAAAAGGCTTCCCTTTGAATCTGAAGACGAATCTGCCGAGAAGGTAACGAATTTTGCTGCATAAAGTTTCGTTTTTGTGCTTGGAAAAGAAGATCCCACTCTCTCTCTCTCTCTCTTCGCTAAGCCCACGATACACATAAACGTCTCAGATTGTCATTGAGTTTTTTCTAACCTTGTTTGTTTTTCTTTGGTGAAACTCAATTCAAAGGATCGGATCAGCTATTTGCCCCATGATGTTATAGGCTTTATATTATCTCTTTTGAGATCTAAAGAAGCACAAGCGACTTGTCTTCTTTCCAGAAGATGGAGGCATTTGTCTACTTATCAGGTCACCAACCTTGATTTCGACTGGTCTGACTTATTGGTTAAGATGGAAGATAACCCCGAGTTGGCGGAAAAGGAGAGGGCGAGATATGTGGAATGGGTGAACAGTGTCTTGCATCTTCAAAGTGGAGGATACCATTTACGTAGATTTGCATTATGCTTTGACCTGAATATCTCATATAAGTCTCACATCGATCGGTGGATTGGTTTTGCATTGGCAAAACGAGTTAAAATTCTCCAACTAGATTTCGAGCCCGCGTGTCTGAAGGATATGTCACCAGATTGTGACCCCAGTCGCTTGCCATATATGTTAGAGCGTGAGACACTTATGGATGCTAATGTAGGGCGTTCACAACGAGCTTCAGGTCTAAGTAATTATGGCTTGGGCCCTTCTAGTTTGGGCCCTTCTAGTTCTTGGCATGTTGGCTTTAGGTATCTCGAAGAGCTCACCTTAATTCGAGTCAATGTGGAGAGAGAACTCATTGAGCAATTGCTTGCCAATTGTCCAGTTCTAGAGCGATTGGTTTTGGAGGATGCTCCTACTTTGAATAGGCTTAAAGTTTCTGGCCAATCACTGAAGCTGAAGTACTTGCGCATCGCAGGTTGTGACAATCTTGAAGGGGTTGAGATTTATGACACAAACCTTGTGTTTTTCACTTTCTTGGGACTTCTAATTCCATTGTATTTGGACAAGCTCCCCCAGCTGTCCGAGGTGTCTATTATAGGATTTCATCCGCTGCTTGTGCATGAGATCTTGTCTCAACTTTCAAGTCTTTCTTGTCTGCAGATTCTCAAACTTCAATCTTTTGATTCACCCAAGGTAAGAGTACTGACTATTTTCATAAAGTTTCATAAGTTATTTAATTTTACAATCCGTGTTGCCTTTGATTTTCTCTCTGTCTAATATGCAGGAAAACTTGCTTATTCATCAGCTGCCTAAATTAACAAGTGTCAAGCTATTGGAACTGAAATTCGACGGAGCAAGAGGTGCAAGTCTACTTCCATTGACTCTCGTGATCGAGGCATGTCCCTGCTTGCAGAGTTTTGTGTTTGAGGTGGGTTTTCGAGTCTCATTCAAGGCTTCATCTATTTAGGCATTAGAGTCATGTAGTAGGATGGAATATGATAAACCAAGCCACTGTTGAATCCTATTGGTGAGTTGTTAGGACATCATTTGTGTAGTAATTGCTCGACGAGACAATCCACATAGACTTACTTTATTTTACAAGTTCTTTCTTTCACTGGCATTCTCCAATGTATCAATATCTTGTGGCGATCAATAATATATGGCATTCTTCTTTTGCCACAGATGACATACCCATGGGAGATGCTATGCACGCAGAGAGAACTAGAAAGAGTTGTTGGATCTCCCCATTGGTACCTAAAGGAGGTTGAATTTAACAATTATCATGGTCAACTTTGTGATCTAGAACTAGTGTATTACCTTGTCGAGAATGCGCCTGCTCTTGAGAAGTTAGTGGTGAATCCCTGCGTTGAACAATATCTTAAGGACGTGATAAAAAGTGCTCTGCAACAACTCAAGGGAAAGTTACCTCCAAGAATTGAGCTGGTGATTAATTAACGAAACCAGAGCCTCATTCACTTGGCATCTATAGTACTGTTATGGTTGGCTATTATTCTGCATCCTAATCCTCTTCTCCCGTTTAAACTTATTTTTCTGACTGCAGATATAAGTTTGCTTATTAATAATTTGTTGTTCCAGATTTTTTAATTCGGATTTTTAAGTAATGTAATTGACTCTTTTGCATTTTTACCCAATATGGGAAGCGGCGAGGCCATGGATAATGGATGTTGCTGGTTTTTGGTTTAACTTTCTCTTGTGTTCCCCCTTTTTGTTGGTGATTAAAGTGGTAATAGGGAGAGAACGTATTTATCTAGTTATGGGCTAGTTAATCTAGTCAATAGCAAATGTTGTCGTGTGCCTAAATGATAGTGCACTTCACTTGAGTACAAACATTCGCCTGATTATGCTACCACTCTCTGCCTGGATCGACGTGGGAATTCCCTTGGACATTGTTACCGGCTATAGCGGGTCGCATAAAAAAACAAATGCGTGGGTGTAAGTTACTACCATGTCTGCACAAAGTACATCGTGCAGGTGAGTTCCTGCTGCATACTATGCCAAATTACTACAAATTTTCAACCTTAGCACATAGAAATGGACATTAAGCACACGTATAGCGTATAGATGGATCACTTTGGACATCAAATACAATAGCAATGTAATACTTCTTTGGATCTGGAATGATACAGTACTTGCAACATAGCATGTAAATAATTTTATGTAGCTTACAAGTTAAAGGATAAATCAAAGGTTTAAGTATCCAATCTTGCTCATATGATACCCAATATTATTTACAACCGCAACATCAAAGTCAAAAGATAGGTTGATCTAGTTATTCTGGAAACATTGACTAATTTTGAACACTAAATGGCATGGGAATATGATGACGAGTGCCCGGACTAATAGGGCGGTTTGGTCCAGTTTTAGCGTTTCCTACAGACTTTCAGATTCTTCTGAGCTAGTGGTGTCTCTTTTTTGCAAACATAGGATTGTCACATTGAGTAGATATTAAGCACATGCTATCACAACAACTCGCCCATATGAGCACACACAAATAGGATTCGACAGTGACTTGGCTTATTCTTTCCTATCCTTCCACCTCTGTTGAATGTCTAAATAGATGAAGATTTAATGAGGTCCGAAGACCCACTTCTAACACAAAAGTCCGCAAGTAGGGACATGCCTCAATCATGAAAGTTATCGAAAGTAGACTTAAATCTTTCCATCCGTCAACTTACAGCCGATCGCTTGACATGTGTTAATTCATGCAATTGGTGATTACACAGTCCCGTTCTTGTGACGGGGGTTAGGTTCTTCCATCTTGTACAATCAATTCGAGGCGTTGAAACCAAGGTCCCTTAACTGAGTAGTCCACAAATATCTCCTTCTCGGAATGAAACAGAAATTGCTTGTGTTTCTCTGGATGTCAACCGGAATATATACGACCGACAAGAGACCGAGCAAGACGTGACAGAGAAAAAAGTTGGCTAAGTTTTGAAAGCTCTTAGTAAGTAATTAAATTCAGTTAGTCGACAATAAAACTAGTTTTAGCCGGCAGAAGGTCCAGGTGAAAATAACCATCGTTTCGGAAGAAAATGTCGAATCAATTGAGGAAAGACCATTAGAGAGGTATTCGTTAAAAGGTAAATTCGATGCAACCGTTAAATAGTGGAGCCGAAGATCCAAAAAGTAACTGGTAATGGTAACTGTGAAGAAATAGAAGAGGCATAACCGTCGAGCGGTGGAGTCGGTGGTTTTCAAGTAATCGTTTGTAAATAGGGGTTGTTGAGTTGTAGGAGTCATCATAGAGTGTGTTTGATTTCTTTGTACTCTTTGTTGTACTCTTTGTAAATACCCACATTTAATTTTATCTTCCTGTGCACTTTACCTTTCCAGTATCTTTATGTGGCTGGGAAAATTACTCAATCAATCCTCAATATATCTCACCGATATTAATTCAGTTATGAACTTTTCAATTTTGTCATACTAGTCATAAACATTTGTGGCGGCGTTCTAATGTAGTCCTTCCAATCGTGACAGCTTAGTCTTCATTGCCAAGTGGCGCACGGTCACACAAGCAATTTTTAGCAAAATTTGGCTGGAATGACCATATTAAAATATCACATAAAGGTTTGGAACTCAATTAGCAAAATTGAAAAGTTTAAGACTTTATACAAAAGGTTTAGAACTAATTGGATAGTTTCCCCTCACATGGCAAGATATGATGATCTCCAATCTTGGTACTTTTCATTTTTTTCATCATTTACATTTTTTGTCCAAGAATCAATAAAAGACCTTTTTACAACTTTTGTCAATTCACCCATCGAACCATACTTCGAAAGGTACATCGTTGACAGCTTTCGGCGAAACAGCTTCTATAAGTGACTTTGACATAGAATAGTTTGCATCCAATTGGTGCGATTTGAAAATATATTTTCTAGTTTTAAAGTTGGAGATCCCATGATGCACCCAACCAACAACGTCAACCCTATGTGCGCATGTGTGGGGTGAAAAAGAATCTTTTAATTTACCCCGTTACTTTCTACACTAAGCAAAGAAGAGAATTTTATTAAGGATAATTCATGAAGGGACAAAGTTGGTAAACAATAACCTCTGATTGTCAAATATATACGAAGAAAGTACCCTTTAATTTTCATCTCGTTAATAATATCCTTGATTTTGGTAAAAAAGATGAAAGTCCGTCCTTTGCACTTGTAATGCATCTCATGGATTTAAAAGCTTCTGAATAGAGCATGAACAAATAGAGAGTAAAAACAATGTAGTAACACCACAAGATTTTCAACCTCTTCTTTAGATAATTAGAAAACTCTTCTTCCGAAGGCTTGATATTTGCCCTGATAGACCAACTTTTCCCAGTCATAACAACTCCTGATTCAAGCTAAACGGCTCAATGGCATCATTTCTGTCTTTCAAGGGCAAAACTTATAAAAATAAGTAAAGATATAATAATCTCTCTCCTCATAAAGTAAACTAAGATCCGATCCGATCACACAGTCGTAGTCAGCATAGAGCCTCATTGGACAATCTTGGCTGGTGTCGGAACTATAATATATACGAACAGCAATCTTGTTGATTCGCCACATGCAATGCCACACACTTTCTTTTCGACCATTCTCAAGAGTTATCCAAAGGTCGCTTTCTATGCCCTTTGGAACCGATGATAAAACAAGGCCATGATGAATCAATCTGTCATTTATATGATTTTCAAGAGAAAACTTCTGCTAGGGTTTCTTGCAGTGGCATTTGTTTTTTATTTTTTTGTTTGTTTGAATTTAAAGTTACTTCGTGTTTTTCAGAATTTTTAAGGCCCATTGTTTCGGCGACGAAAGTAAGCTAAGGCGTAATTATTTGGCGAGTTTGAGGGAGTTGAAGTCCGCTTAACAAGATTACAGCTGTGACAAATCCTTGAAATATTCTTATTATAAAAATAAAATAAAGGGGTTCTCAACTTTGCAAATGCATAATATTCTAGTCAAGTTGTGTTTGAGATTAATTGGGCTTGATGACCTGTGGTCTAAGCCCATCAATTCACCTAAACACTTTATAAAACATGCGCAAAGTAGAGAAATGATGGGCACTTTGAGTCCGCAAACCACTCGGACCTCGTGTGAAACTTAGCTGATCAAAAGAACTCAGTTTCACTAAATTCAAATGTATCAAGTTCCGACGATAAATTTTCAGATACTACTCATACAAAGTGACGTAATTCCCGACATGACAAGACCGTTGGTGCATGACTAGCCTAAACTCAAAATCCTACCACGATGTGAAAGAAAATACTTCATATTATTAACTAAATAAGAAAAATTAGCCAATTTGTTTTCCAATGATTGTTGACACCTAAATTTTAATTACCCAATTAAAAATTATTACACAAAAATTAGGAGTTAAAATTTTAATCCCTAAAACAAAAATATTTTTATTTAATTGCATGGCATATAGAAATTAGGTGCATTTTGCATTAATTGGACTTGTTAGAATAAATTTTTCTTTTTTTATTATTTTTTAAAAATTAATTAAAAAAAGGGAAAACCGGGCCGAGGATTTTTGGAGTTGATTTACTATATATTTCGTAAGGATTTCGGTTGCTGCTCAAGTGCCCAGTTTTGCCCAGTTTGGCCCCGATTATGTGCATTCTCAGTTTTTCTCTCTCTCGGGAGCTTTTCGGTGATTTTTGTTGAAAAAGGAAGGCGTGGCATTTTGTTGAGTGAATACGGACTTAGTCGGCATTTGGCTAATTTCAAAGATAAGAATCGGTAATGTTTGTTGAATGTGTGCATGATCACGACACGTTCCGTCTAGGCGGGAGTTCTAGACGATGCCCGGTGGAAGCTTGGATGCCGTCTAGGCGGGAGTTCTTGACGTTACCAATTGCGGTGGAAGCCGGATCGATGCTCATAAGTGGAATGCCGTCGGGTACCAGGCTTGCCGGGGGGTGTTCGATCCCCAATGTTGCCGTCGTCGATGTAGCGGGATGATGCCTGGTTACGCTAGAAGACCGGCGGGAGTTCGGTGGCCCAAGAAGTCGTTAAAAGTCTGGACATTTATAAACGTGTGACTTGCATTAGGGAATGCCATAATTGAGCTTTTATTGAGCATGTCTAGATTATTAACCATGTTATGCATGTTTATGCCACGAATTGGGTTGTGCATGCTTGTCGACCAATTGGTCGTGATATGGCGAGATTTTAACGTGTAAGGTTATGTATGTGCCAAGGCGAGGTAAGGTCGCCTGTGATTATCCATGGCATGTTGATTGTTAGAGTTGCATGTTTAGGTTGCCCGAATGTACCCGTTAGCCTAAACGAGGCTTAGGTAATTGCTTATTGAGATTTCATCTCATTGTTGCAATATAACCATTTCAGGCTCGCAACCATGACTGATCCGGAGATGCCGTCAGTATACTACGGGGATCAAGGATAGGTCGAGTTACTCCGTCTTTTGAGTGTCCCTTTTTATAGAGAAGTTGAGCTAGCCAACCGCCGATCCTTTTTGCTATGCGTGGTTGTTGCTTAGTGGCCTTTAGTAAGGCATTTGAATTGTATATGTTGTAATTAACCTTATGTCTATAAAAGTTTGGTTTGTTGATGTGTTTCCAATGTCTCTTTACTATCTCGTTTGATTGTATGTTGTATGGAGAGTTCATGTGTGCTTCCGCTTATGCTATTCGTTAGTATTTGGTTTTGGGTCGGCAACAAGTCCTGGGATGTCGCATGTTCGAACAA